AAATCGAGGTCAGACGGCACTATTTATACCTTGAGGAAGCCGATGGGCCAGCCGAGAGACATCTCACTTTCCCGGGGAAGCGCCAGCCACAATTTCGAGGCGTTTGCAAAGATCTGGGACTTGGCAAAACTGCCTTTTGCTAATCTTGCAATGTTCTCCTTTTAGCTCACAGGGGCTTCCTCGCCTGCAGGAAACCGTTTAAGCAAGTCCGCCTGGGACGAGAATCTGAATTCTGAATATATATATATATATATATTTAAGGGGCTTCGCCTTTTCTGAAAAAATGCAGAGCTTTCGTCTAGCGAAAAGCTCATGAAAACAGCTCCTTCCCCCCCCCTCTTCCTGCCTCAAAAGCTCCCCTGGAAAATTGCAAACTATACAAAAGAAAAAGAAAAGACCCAACAGCTGCAGTCCTCGACTTAAAACTGCCCACTTAGTGACTGAAGTAATGCATTTTCTGCAGCCCTAAAAGAGCCTTCGGACACAGTGGTTAACATTGGCAATTTCCCGCTGAATTTTAGGCTGGGAAGCCAAATAAAAATAAAATAAAATGAGACATTCGCACCTCTAGGAGAGCCAGACGCCCAGCAAGAGAGGAATAAAAACAGAGATATTACAGGGAGCCCTTGACTGACGATGTTTCGTTTAGTGACTGTTCGGAATTACGACGGCACTGAAAAAGGGGACCCGTTTTTCAGCTTTACGACCGTTGCAGCTCCAAATTCAGACCGTCGGCAACTGACTTGCATTTATGACGGTCGCAGCGTCCCAGGGTCACGCAATCCCTTTTCGCGACCGTCTGACCAGCCAAGTCAACGGGGGAAGAAAGATTCGTTTAACGACCATGTTCTTCACTTAACAAATTGCAGTGATCCAGTTAACAACGCACGCAGCACGCAAGTTCGGTGCTACGCCACCCCACCCCACCCCCACTCCCGAGTCGCCGTTTGGGAGATGGGCGGCTGCATGAATTGGTTTAATTAATAAATCATTTCCTCCAGTTCAAAGCTTGCCCCGCCACACACACATACGCACAGACAACACACACGCACACTTAACAGCAGGAGCAGCGTCTTCCAGGACTTGACAGCCCCTCCAATTTGCCAATTTCTGTGCAACAGATGGAGCAGCAAAATTACAAATCCCGCTTGTAAGCCGTTGGAGCTTATGTTAATTTTCCACCGAAACGATATTAAATTAAATTTAAATACTGCTTGGGCCTCACCCATCCTGGGAGGAAGTGGTGGGGAAAAGCCCCTCCGTGTTTAAAGGGGCTCCTTATCTGAATCAAACGGGATATTTTCTCGTAGTTAAGAGGCCGTGGTGCAAATTCAGCTGCTAGGACTTCTTTTTTTTCCCTTTTTTTTCTTTTTTTGCAACTTCCGTGTCGCAACTTAGCTCGCAAAAGGAATCCAGAGATTTTTCTTCTGTGTCTGACGCCGCCCGATGCATTTGCTGGTTCCTTCTCGCGACCTTTTGGCTAATTCCCACTTTTAACTCGGATTTAAATGGCTTTAAAAGAAACAGGCCCGATATAGGTAAGGGACCTTACTGGAGTCCTTGATTTACAACAGTTTGTTTAGAGACCGTTCAAAGTTAGGTACTTAAGACTGTTTTTCACACTGACGACCGTCGCAGCCTTCCCCCGCGGTCACGTGATTTACATTCGGACGCTCGGCACCTGACTCGCGTTTATGACGGTCGCAGCGTCCCGGGGTCATGTGATCCCCTTTTGCGACCTTCTGACAAGCGAAGATAATGGGGAAGACAGATTCATTTAACAACCGTGCTATATAGTATGTTTAAATGTGTGTTATGTATGTGTATACTTTGAGAGCAAGCAACTAAATTTCATGTTTAAGGTGTGCTATTGTGCCTACAGTAAAAAAAAATGACAATAAAGGTTATCTGTCTGTCTGTCTATGGATCATCTATATCTATCTGTCTATCATCTCTCTCTCTCTCTCTCTCTCTCTCTCTCTCTCTCTCTATCTATCTATCTATCATCTATCATCTATATCTATCCAACATCTATCTATCATCATCATCTGTCTGTCTGTCTATCTATCATCTGTCTATCATCTCTCTATCTATCCAACATTTATCTATCTATCTATCTATCTATCTATCTATCTATCTATCTATCTATCTATCTATCTATCTCTGTCTATCTATCTCTATCTATCCAACATCTCTCTCTCTGTCCGTCTGTCTATCCGTCTATCCGTCTATCCGTCCAGGCATCCATCATCTATCTATCTATCTATCTATCTATCTATCTATCTATCTATCTATCTATCTATCTATCTATCTATCTATCTATCTATCTATCTATCTCTATCTATCTATCTATCTATCTATCATCTATCTATCTATCTATCTATCTATCTATCTATCTATCTATCATTCATCTATCTATCTATCTATCTATCTATCTATCTATCTATCTATCTATCTATCTATCTATCTATCTATCTATCTATCTATCTATCTATCTATCTCCAACATCTGTCTGTCTGTCTGTCTATCTATCTATCACTAAATGAACTGCTGTAAGCCGAGGATTACCTGTATTACAGAATATGGAATAACAGAGTTGGAAGGGACCTTGGAGGTCTTCTAGTCCAATCCCTCTTTGAGCTGGAGACTCCACACCGCTCCTGACAAACGGCTGTGCAATCAATCTCTTTCTAAATTATTTCAGCAATTAACTCGAGGACTCTCTGTATATCTCTACAGAAATTACGGCAGAACCACGATGCAAACCCTCTTGAATGCATTTGGGTCGATGTAAAAGGGATTTTTTTTTTAAAAAAAGGACTTTGCCATAGGTGTATCCTGCAGGCCATCCAACCAAACAGAGGAAATAAATGATTTATTTATTTTTTTTGACCAGTGGGGAAGGAGAACCTGGAAGAGAAAAGCAGGAAAGGAGAGGGAGAAGACAAACGAATGGAGACAGAGACAGACACACCTCAGACATGATATGTTTAGACTTACTGCCCTGGCTGGATTGCCCTGGTCGATGGGATTCTTAAAATCTATGTGCAATTCGTCAAAGGCGATTATCTAGAGAAAGGGAGAGAGAGAGAGAGAGAGAGAAACGAATTCAGAAAATATCCTTGTTCGCGGGGGAAATAAAAAAATCACGCAGCGGGTCCACCCATTATAACCAGTAACCGTCATTCCCGAGCATTGTGAAATTTACATGGACGTTCCGTAAGGAAAGGATGAAAAAGCAAATAAATCGGGGCGCAGAATTTGCACCCACACCTGCCACCGCCCTGAAAGCACAGGGGAGTCCGTGCCTCAGGTTTCATCCACACCCTTAAGCTGAGAGCGGCACATTTGGGAGTTTAGACGTTAGCCCTGGAGGTTGTTGAACCCCAATTCCCATCAGCCCCTGCCAGTAAGGATGATGGGTGTTGGGGTTTCCAGAGACGCCTGGAAGTTTGCAGATTCCTGGACTTAGTTAATCTCATGTACAAGTAAAACAATGAATACATGTGTATGTATATCTATGTATCTATATGCATATATCTATATATCTATATCTGTCTGTCT